TTGTGAAATGTTGTAGCTGTTTGTCTCATAGATATGGATGAATACTGCCATGCTTCAATGCTATAGATGTCAGGAGATGAAAAATGGAGTAATGATGAACCATTTGTGAAAGGTTCTACCTATAAATAAATATAGATGTAAATATACTCCAGCATTACAGATGTCAAGTAATAATGAACCATGGGATGATATAGACCTGTAAACCTCATAAATGTTGGCAAATACCATACTGCTATTCTATTAGTATACCCGCATAATGTTGCTGTTCTATTAGTATATCAGCACAATGCTGCTGTTCTATTAGTATATCAGCACAATGCTGCTGTTCTATTAGTATATCAGCACAAGTATTTTTGGAAAGATTACTTAATTGTAGTATAGCACTTCTGTTTTCATAGTGTATCAAGTTTGACCTAGTTTTCTTCCCTCTGTGTAGCTATTAGATGGTTCAGTGCTAGTGGGATTAATATACAAGCCTGTAAGGAGTGACAAGTTAACTATAGTAGATACAAAATATAATATAAAATTGTTAATATAAAAAAAAAGTTTCATTTTCTCTTCAAAACTAATCCAATCTTCTGAGTTTTCAAACTGTCTGATTGTGTATTAACAAAGACGTTTGTTGAGTTTTACTTTGAAGTTCTAACTTCTTTAGAACTGTACCTTTTTTTTCTTTTTTTTAAGTAGCAAATTATGATTTTGATCCATTTTATAAGTCTTGGTAATAGTTGGGGAACAAAATGTATTTCAAGTTTTAAACATATGTAACTAAAAAGTAGGATCAACAAATTAATACATGATGATGCAAAAGTTGTCTTCCACCACAACTTTTAAATCTTGCAGGAACAGCTGTTCTAAATGTTTACCATCTTGTGTCATAATACAACATCAGTCTTTTATGGGCCTCGCTTTGTAGCATTTACAGTGTCATGGCTGTTTCAATTCTCAGTTTTAAGTACATTTCAGATTATTTAGAAGTGTGATAAACACCACACGTTGGTTGTAGTTAATGGTGCAAGAACAGGAGAGATGTAGGTCATGCAAGGTTTTCTTCTTAGGTCAGTGGTCCTGTTGATAAAAGATGAACCAAAATAACGGCATAGTTTCAGTCTACATGAATCTATAACTCTTGTCTACTCCAGTCATGAATTTCTGCACCCAATGTGGGTTTTTGGGACCTGTACTGAAAATTGTGCATTTCATTTCACCATTTGTGTAAAGTATTGTCTTAATGTCCAAAACTTTTCTGGATGAAGGGGCTCATCAAATTCCTCCTGCACCATCAACCATTCATAAAACTCCACACACGCATATACAGTATCTGCTACAAGACTGTTTACATGAATCATTAGGTTCAGTATTTAATGTAGGTTGTAAAGATCTGTATACCAAATTTGAAAAAAAATCCATAGAACTTAAGTATGTTTTTCTATCAAATAAAGTTTACTTTCAGTGCGAAGAAGAAAAAAAAGAAAACAATTCAATCACAATTGGAGATTTTATAGCTCATGTATTTCTTAATGGATTGCCTTGAAATTTGGTAAGTGAAGTAAGGGTCCAGTAAAGAACATCCACTAAAAATATGTGATAGTTTAGATTACCATAGTCCGAGCTACAGAAAGTGGAAAATCACTAAACTATCACTCCTGTTAATAATACACAGTGTGTCCTGCAGGTTTTTTTGGCCTCACGATACACTACTGAGTGTCTTGGTACAGTTGTGATAATTGACATGAAATTCTTAGAGAATAAGAACATTACTGTTAAAAAGGTAGGAAATAAGAGTGATGATGAACCAGTCCATGAAATTGTACCTGTAACTAGTGGTAAATACTATTTCAACTCTGTAGTTGCATGATATAAAATACATTTTATGTCTGAACTGATTTTGCATTGAAATAATATGAAAGGGGTCACAGTGAGCCTGAGATATCACAGCAGTAAGTTCTTTTAACTGAAGAAGTGTACTGACTTTCTATGTGTAACTGCCAAATTGTGGTCATAACTCTGTTGAAGTGCAACTGCCAGATTCTTTTGGCCTAAACTTTGACAATCTTCTGTACAGCACTAAGTCATGATGTAAAGTGAGATTAAAGATAGAATAAATATTTTAGTATTAGAACAAAAAACAGATTCATCAGAATATCCATTCCAACAGCTTCCTCAGCTGTCTGGTTTCATTAATAGAAAGAAATATAAAATTAACATTTTAAACAACACCAAAAAGTGAGTCTCATAAAATGACATATTAATTGGCTTTGTGCAACATCATCAGAAGCTGGATGGTTAATTATGTAAAATGACATACTAACTGGCTTTGTGCAACATCATCAGAAGTTGGATGGTTAATTATGTAAAATGTAATACTAACTGGCTTTGTGCAACATCATCAGAATTTGGATGGTTAATTATGTAAAATGTAATACTAACTGGCTTTGTGCAACATCATCAGAAGTTGGATGGTTAATTATGTAAAATGACATACTAACTGGCTTTGTGCAACATCATCAGAAGTTGGATGGTTAATTATGTAAAATGACATACTAACTGGCTTTGTGCAACATCATCAGAAGTTGGATGGTTAATTATGTAAAATGACATACTAACTGGCTTTGTGCAACATCATCAGAATTTGGATGGTTAATTATGTAAAATGACATATTAATTGGCTTTGTGGAATAGTATAAATAGTCACCTGTTTAAATAATATAAAATATGAAATGCATTCTTTAACTCATTGTTTAAATTGTCAGTTTGAATATTTGGGTATTTAATGTAAACAAAGTAGAACAGTTTCTTGTTGATAATAAAAGTTAAACATCTTGGTTGAATTACGTGTGTGAATTTTTTGCATAAAATTACCATTAGATACACAATGATGTAACTTAAGTCTTAAGTTTAAATGTATCCATCTTTACTTGCCCCCCAGTGGTTCAGCAGTAAGTCTGAAAGCTTATTATGCTAAAAACATGGTTTCGATACCTATGTCGGACACAGCACAAAAAGCCCATTGTATAGCTTTCTGCTTAACTACAAACTCACTAATATAGGTCCATTCCATTTTTGACCGGCTAAAAATGATGTGATTAATTTTTAATTTTTTTTTCTGATATAATATTAGGCTTATTATAAGTAATGAAGTAAGATCTTTAAAAATAATAACTATTCTTTATTACGACTGCTCAATTGAACTTGTAACAGTTACTGTACAATTTCATGTCAGCAGTTACCTGCTGTTTCATTTCAGGTTTGGCTGTTTCAATATTTTAAGTAAGCTGGCCATAATAATAATAATAATAGCTTAAGTGTTTCTATAATTTCTTCTCTTAGATGTTGATAAAGGTTCAGCTTGCAAGCATGAAAACGTTATCTGTGAGTATATAACAGTTCATTTTTCAAACCTGTTAGATCTAGTTTTGAAGAGTAAACAATATTTCAGTTTTTGGGTGATATGTTTCAATTGGCCATAGCTTTATTCATATATTTCAACTTTTATAGTACACAGAAAATAAAAACGAAAAAAACAAATAAGTGAATTTAATATGAAATTTTTACATTTGATCAGAATTCTTTAAAACTGTTTGCAGTAACGTGCCTTATTAATAGCAGGAATAATTAAGTTTCTCACAAAGAACTTCTGAAATTATTTTTGTCATTAACTTTTTGATCTTAACATGTTCAAAACTAACCCTATTGCCTTACAAATCATGTTATAAGTAAACCTACCACATGACACCCAAATGTCTACTCAACTACTTAGTGTACAGTAATTGGATGTTATATGTGTGTTTGCCAAAAAAAATTTAAATAAAACCTGAAGAAGATAATGTACAGTGTCTGCTACAACACAACACTGTCTACATGAATCACTAGGTTAAGTACCTTTAGATCACCAGCATATACATTGTATACTACAACAGTGTCTACATGAATCACTAGGTTAAGTACCTTTAGATCACCAGCATATACATTGTATACTACAACAG